TTATGAATATTTGTGGTTTGGTTTATTTATTTTTAATCTTATTAATATAAAATATAGCTAATAGTACAGAAAGAAACATTTTTTTCACCTTTACATTTTCCGAACAAATTAACTTTCCCGCTGAGAAATCTGTCAAATATTATACCTCACTTTCTAGTGGCGCTGATCTGGTTGCAGAAAAAGTCGTGGATGCCCTCATTCTGGAGGTGGGCAAGGTTTTTTGCAATTGGAACATTTGCATCTTGATCAATGAAATGTTCCGAAACACTGATATGTTTCATTTGGATCATAGACTCAAAAGATATAAAAGAAAGAATGTTCCGAATACATTAAGTTGCGTCGCGGGCGTTTATTACTGACCGATCCGTGAAATGTTATGTGGCAACAATGCTGAATAATATAAGTCATCATCATTACAGCCCTTCACAAGTCCACTGCTGAACATAGGCCTCCCCCAAAGAATGCCACAAAGCACGGTCCTGAGCCACCTGCATCCATCGACTTCCTGCATGTCTTACCAGGTCGTCACTCCATCTCGTGGGGGGACGCTCTACACTTCGCCTACCGGTACGAGGCTGCCACTCGAGAACCTTTCTTCCCCATCGGTTGTCGGTTCTTCGAGCTATATGGCCGGCCCACTGCCACTTCAGCTTACTAATCCGTTGGGCTATGTCGGTTACTCTGGTTCTACTGCGGATATCCTCATTCCTAAGTTTATCACGCAGATAAACTCCGAGCATAGCCCTCTCCATAACTCGCTGAGCGACCTTGAGCTTCCTCATACGGCCAGCAGTGAAGGAACACGTCTCAGTTCCATAAGTCATCACTGGCAACACGCACTGGTTGTACAATTTCGTTTTCAGGTTTTGAGGTATGTCTGACGAGAAGATGTGTCGTAGCTTCCCGAACGCTGCCCAGCCGAGTTGAATCCGTCGATTGACCTCTCGGTCGAAGTTGGACTTACCTAGTCGGACTATTTGTCCCAGGTAAACATACTCATCAACAACTTCGAGCTTAGTGCTCCCAACAACTACCGGCATAGGTGTGACATGGACATTGAACATGATCTTTGTTTTGTCCATGTTCATCTTAAGACCTATCCGTTGGGAAACACTATCGAGGTCATTGAGCATAGTGCTTAGGTCCTCCAGCGATTCTGCCATAAGGACTATATCGTCGGCAAATCGAAGGTGAGTGATGTACTCGCCATTGATGTTGATACCGTATCCTTTCCAGTCCAGAAGCTTGAAAACGTCTTCCAATGCAGCGGTGAAGAGTTTCGGGGATATGACGTCACCCTGTCTTACACCTCTCTGCAATTGGATAGGTTTCGTACTCTGGTTCTGTACTCGGATAGCCATCGTAGCCCTACTGTACAAGCACTTCAACACTTCGATATACCGACAGTCAACTTGGCACCGCTGAAGGGACTGCAGCACCGCCCAAATTTCGACGGAATCAAAGGCTTTCTCATAGTCCACATACGCCAGACATAGTGGCAAATTGTACTCTTCGGACTTCTGTACAATTTGCCGAAGGGTATGTATGTGGTCTATGGTGCTAAAGCCCTTTCGGAAACCGGCTTGTTCGGGAGGCTGAAAGTTGTCAAGTCTGCGCGCGAGACGATTCGTAATGACTCTCGAAAACAGCACGTAGACGCGGCTCAGAAGAGAAATCGGTCTGTAGTTCTTCAAGAGAGCGTTGTCACCTTTCTTGAAGAACAAGATCACCGCACTTCTGCACCACGCCTCCGGTGTAATGCCACCATGGAGGACGGAATTAAAGAGCTTCTGAAGGACTTCAAGTACCGGTCTTCCACCCGCTTTCAGAAGCTCCGCTGTAATTCCATCCTCGCCTGGGGCCTTACCGTTTTTAAGGTGCTGGAGAGCCATTCTAATTTCGCTCAGACTGACGTCCGGGATATCTTCGGAATAGTGTCGGATGAGACTCGCTCTTGGATCGTTACTCACACTTGCGTGTGGCTCCAACGATGACGTGTACAGCTGCCCATAGAACCTCTCAATCTCACTCAAAATCTCAGGTGTCCCGGAAACGATGCTGCCACACTCTGTCTTCAGCTTTGACAGGTGGCTCTTTCTGGCAGACAGATCTCTGGCAAAGACTTTGGAGCCTTGGTTCCGCTCGATCGCTTCTTCAATACGAGCTGTATTGAAGTTGCGTAAGTCCCGCCGCATGCATTTGGAGATCTGTCTGTTCAGATGTCGGTATGCTGTCAAGTTTTTTTTTTTTTTTTTTTTTAGGATAAGAATGACAAAAGAGCTCACAGTCCACCTGATGGTAAGTGGTTGCTGCGGCCCATAGACATCTACATCTATCCTCTGTTACAAATCAAAATGTAGATGCGTTGTCATCCGTGAGGACTAAGATGGAATGCCTCATTTCCAGTAAAAAGGGCCTCCGGCCACCTGCACTCACCAAGCGAAACGCAGAGGTAAACTTCTACTTCACGCTGGTTTTCTGTGAGGTCGTGGTACTACCCCGGTTCGAGCCGGCCCATCCGTGCGACAGCAAAACCACTGTTGAAGAATGTAGCTTCATCTCCCATCTAACAGCCATGAGATTAAGAGTGTGATCGGAGAGTTTTTGTGTACTTCTGCGGCGGGTCTTGCAGAACTTAGCTCCGACCGCATGGACAGTTTCCACGAGCTTGTCATTCATATCGTCCACTTCATTGCAGTCTTCTAGGCACTGCAAACGGTTTTCTAACTCGAGCTGAAAGGTTTCGGGACTTTGGAACAGAGCACGAGGGGGACGGAGCGTTGACTTCATTAGACGAGACCTCTCCAACTTAACGTTTAGGTTCAGTGTGCCTCTAACCATTCGGTGATCGCTACCAGTTTTCACCCTCGCGATCACGGAGACATCACTGAACAGTTGTCGCCTGGTCGTCATAATGAAGTCAATCTCATTTTTTGTCGAACCGTCGGGGCTCGACCAGGTCCACTTCCTGTGGGGCCGCTTCTGGAAGAAAGAGTTCATCATAAAGAGTCCCTCTTTCTCCATGAAGTCGGCCAGCTACTGGCCTCTTGGGTTCCATTGCCCTATTCCAAATTTCCCTACTTTCAGCTCACCGTTCTCTCTTGTGCCTAGATTTGCATTGAAGTCTCCCATTAACACCGTATATTGGGTTTTGGAGGAATGCATGGCTCTAGAGATATCCTCATACATTTCCTCCACCTCCCCATCGGGATGTGCCGAGGTTGGTGCGTAAACCTGTATGACCTTCAGCGAATACCGTTTGGTGATTCTGAGTATAAGGTACGCAACCCTCGTCGACACACTCCAGATCTTTACAACGTTGTTAACGAGAGACTTGTGAACGATAAATCCGACACCTCCTTGGGACAGATGGTCGCCCTCCCGGTGATAGAGCAAGTTGCCGGATTCGAGGATTACCGTCTCCTCCCCCTCTCTTCGGACTTCGGATAATCCTATAATATGCCAGCGCAACTTGTCTAACTCTTCTTCCAGCTCCACGATCTTCTCGTCAGTCCTCAGGGTGCGTGCGTTGTACGTTGCCAGGTCGAGTCGTCTAAGGTGGCAACCGAACCTCCACCGGAGATTCTTAGCACCCCCTGCCCCGCCGTTACCATGGTCGCCACCGTAGCCAGGAATAGCGGGGCCGCCGGGGACTGGGGGCCGTCTCTTTGTTACATTCATAGGGGGGTACTTGCCATAGTTGCCACGCTTGGCGAGCGGGTTGGCAACGGCAGTTTTTTTATTGTAATTTTGGCTATTATCAGGAAGATGCTGCTGCCCATCTCCTGCCTGTTTCCCTTTGTCGCCTTTTACGACACCCACGGGAGGATATGGGGTAGTGGTATTCTTGACCGCCACTACACGGGCGGGAATAATATAAGTGCTTAGATTATTTATTGTGTACCGTAATAAGATTGTATATAAAATCGATTCTCCTTCATACTTTAACAAAAATGTCAATTCATTATTTACAAAAATGTTCATTTACACAAAACAGCAATGTCTATGTAGCTACACAGAATTTTCTTGTAAAGTATCATAACCACAAACTAGTAAGAAGTGCTAGCGCAATCATAACTCTAAACTTTATGATGAAAAGGAAGAAAGTAAAGTCACAATAATCACTACGCAAAGAAATCCTAAACATAACTCAGTATGTTTTCGTAAACAGGCGCTAATGAATATAAACAATTTGACAAATGCCGCATCAACGTAAGAAGACAACTTGTTAATGCAAACATTACATACAAAAAACGACCGTATAGTATTTGACACATAAGCGCCATAGTGGTAATTTTTACGTGCATGAATAACATCAGCGAAAATCCGTACGAGTTGAGTGATACACTTCTTATTGTTATCTCTATCTGACTTGTGAGGATTACAATTATTTCGCCCGCTCACTCGCCACTCGTGAGTCAATAGTTAAGTTAAGTTAATCATTGTTTTAATCTGTCTCTCTCGCTCGTGGCTCAGTCGCCTAGCAAGCGACGCGTCGCGCAAAATGAGCAGAGCAAAGTAATGTTTCACTGTTCCAGATCCAAATGATACATTTGAAACGTTGTTACTGAACCAATCTTTTGTGTCACTTCAGTGATTCGGATCAGTGAGTCGTTTCCGTAAAGAGATACACACGCCTACCTCATTCTGTATGATATTAAGTCATTCATACAGAATGAGGAACACTACGCGCCTTCAACCCATGACTCATGGGTTGAAGGCGCGTAGTGTCTCTATATAGTTTGTGGTTGAAGGACGAGCTCTCGGTAGAGTAATTGTGTTCTGTGAGGATAAGCATCCAAGCCAAAAATGTTAATAAAAAAATAATAAATTGTTGTTGTGTTTTCTTTCCAAGTTTCCAAGTTTTCATTTTTCAACTTTTGAATTTTTAATACGACATCGAATTTTGAAATTCAAGGAGAAAATTTGGGAAATATAATTTTTGAGGGAATGGAGGCGGAATTAATTTTGAGGAATTTGTCCTAGTAAAGCATAACAAAATGACACAACAATTATTGCTAGTGAATTCAGTGCGAAAATACTTAGCTTCACATCATATGTTTGCCGTTGAAGAGTGGCTATCTGGGTATGTTATCAATTATCATTGCTATAAGTCACGACAGTGTCTAAAACAAATATTTAATTGATTTCGTTTCTGTTGCTGTAAATTGATTTCCCATTTATGTCCTGCTGCAAATAATATTTCTTAGCTCTGTAATAAAATAACTTTAAGGAGTTGTAAATATCGTATTGCAGTGAAAACAAATAAAATATTAATGAATCATGAAAGTGAACATAAAAGTATTACTTCAAGAAAATTATTAAGAGCACAAAATGGCACAAGCACATTGCCCCGAGTAGTGACCCGTGAGAGGCGATAGAGGGAAACTGAGGTAGATGATGGGCAGCAGCATCTTTCTGATAACAGCAAATAACAATAAAAAAACTGCAGTTGCCAACCCGCTCGCCAAGCGTGGCAACTATGGCACTATGCCCCCCATGAATGAATAAAGTTACGAAGAGACGGCCCCCAGTACCCGGCGGCCCCGCTATTCCTGTCTACTTTGTTGACTAGCAATGGGCAATTTTTTCGGTTTGAAAAAAATTGGTTTGAAACTGATTCAAACCAATTTGCGTCCAAATCAAATAACAGCATACAAAATAAAACATAGCTAAATCAAATTGTCTGATGCAATTTAGATTAAAATTCGAATGGCTTGTTTATTCATATTAAAAACTGTTCTTTTGTTTAAAATGAAAAGCACGTTTATTGAAAATTGAAATGTATTATTGAAATGTTCACTGACATACAATCAAAATAATAAATGCTACTAGAAATGTAGGAGCTAATTCCTATATTCTATAACTATTTGTTAGTTTGTAACCCCAATTATTTAGCTACAATTTAGTCTGTAGCTTACATAGGATTGTTCTTAGAATAAGAATCCTCTAATAGAAAGAAATTATAGAATATAGGAATATTAGCTGGTTTCATTAATTTGTATTTGCAAATTTGCCATTCCTTTAGAGCATGCACAAACTGCTATCTCACTCACCATTTGCATGCTGAGTGCTGAGTAGTTCGACCCGAGGACGCACATCGGCAGCGCGATGAATCTGGTTTAACTTCCTTGAATAGATTTTACTCATTCAATTGTCAAACCGTTTTGTTGTTAAACCGAGTTGTCATATCGCTACTTGTGACCATGGTAACGGCGGGGCAGGGGGTGCTAAGAATCTCCAGTGGAGATTTGGTTGCCACCTAAGACGACTCGATGTGGCAACATATTATAACACACGCACTCTGAGGACTTAGAAGTTTCTGGAGCTAGAAGAAGAGATAGACAAGTTGCGCTGGAATATTATAGGATTATCCGAGGTCAGAAGAGAGGGGGAGGACACAGCAACCCTCGAATCCGGCAACTTGTTCTATCACCGGGAGGGCGAGGGAAGTGTCTGATTTATCATCCACAAGTCTCTCATTAACAATATTGTAAATATTGTGAATTTGTGGACGAGGGTTGCGTACCTTATACTCAGAATCACTAAACTGTATTTGCTTAAGCTCATACAGGCTTACACACTAATCTCGGCACATCCCGATGAAGAGTTGGAGGAATATATGTCTAGAGACATACATTTCTCCAAAACCCACTCTACAGTGTTAGTTCTTTTTTTTTTATTTAAAAAAATTACTAATAATGCTATTAAACATTACTAATATTCCCTTTAAACCTCTTCTGGTAAGCTTAAAATGCTTGTGCTAGAAGTGGTTCACGACAGTAGTCGAATGGTGGATTTGAACCCACGACCTTTCGAATTCGCGGTCCGCGCCCTGCCATTAGACTACTGACGCTTATGGGGTTAATGGGAGACGTTATGGGTATGACGTTAATGGGAGACGTCAACACAAAACTAGCACAAGAGAGAATGGTAAGCTGAAGGTAAGGAAATTTGGAATAGGGCAACGGAACCCAAGAGGCCGCTGGCCGACTTCATGGAGAAAGAGGGACTCTATTATGATGAACTCTTTCTGAAGCGGCCCCACAGGAAGTGTACCTGGTCGAGTCCCGACGGTTCGACGAAACATGAGATTGACTTCATTATGACGACTAGACTGCAACTGTTCAGTGATGTCATGATGAAACTGGAACGCGGCCTCACCAGCGCCGGCCGCCCCATGGCAGCCCCTTTTCGGGACAGGACCTCTCCTCCCCATTCTCCTTCTCAGGCAAGGCGCACCAGGAACACAAGGCACGCCCCCTTCCACGGCCTCTAACTCCACCTGCGTATCGGACCCCCTCCCCCGAGTCTGATACGCGGAGGCCATGTTGCCAGGAAAATCGAGCGCTTAGTAGCACCCGCCTTCCCGACCCCAACAGTGGATCTGGTCTCTGGCTCCGCCGCCCACCAAGTTTCGGCCGCGGAGGGTAAGGAGAGCGGCCGCCTGCAATACCGACACTCCTTTCCCCCCGCGGCCCCACCACCACCGCATCAACAGTTCAGCCCTGTGAAGATAGGGTGACTTTATATCTCCGAATCTCTTCACCGCTGCATTAGAAGACGTTTTCAAGCTACTGGAATGGAAAGGATACGGTATTTACATCAATAGAGAGTACATCACTCACCTTCGATTTGCCCATGATATAGTTCTTATGGCAGAATCGCTGGAGGACCTAAGCACTATGCTCAATGACCTCAATAGTGCCTCCCAATGGATAGGTCCTAAGATGAACATGGACAAAATAAAGATCATGTATAACGTCTGTTACGGACAGCGAGAGACCCGCCGCCCCGTCGCCCCTTCGTTCCCCGTTACGTCCCGCGCACCCCGCACGCCGGCGCTGATCACGCGATATCGGGCAACCAATCAGCGCGCGTGCGGCGAAAATTGCCATCGGGCGGCTAACCCGACGAAATGAAGCGCTCTTCTCGGAAATATAAGAAGGGCGCCTCGGACGGTCGTTGTTCATTCGGGTTCATTCGGGTCATTCGGATCATTCAGAAGCATTCAATCGGAAGCGGCAAGGAAGAATCAAGACAGAAGACTCCATACTGAAGACCTCCCTTTTGTATAGTGATTTAGTTAATAGTGCCGAACCCTTGTAAATAGTGAATATAGTATAATTAAAAGTACCATCTTTTCTTCGAGCAGTCCCCTAGTATAGCTAACCTCACACCGCCAGTTAAAATACCAAATACAGTCCACTACTCTCCATCCACTTTATCTTGGTCCATCGTCGCCGGATAGCAGCCAGAAGAAGGAAGAAAGAAGAAAGAAGTAAGAAGAAACAAGAAAGAAGGCAGTTATAGAAGAAGGAACATAATTACAGAAGAGAGAAGATTATTATAGAAGATCTTCAAGGAAGAAAGAAGTTCGTCGACGAAGAGAGAAGATCGTCGGTACTAATTTCTTCCCTGTTTCTTGTTACGCCTACGTCATACGCGTCTATTGTCTGTTTCCAGACAATTTCTTGTTTCTTAACCGCGTTTACGCGGCCAGTGGTCACTCCCTAACGGTGCCAAACTGTGACCATCTGGTAACGCCCTTGTGGCGGGAACGACATCCATACGTGTGTCTTTTTAAAGACTGTACGTACGTCTTTTTGAAGACGACCGGAGGTCGCAACGTGGGACCATGAGGAAGACACGAAGCCAGAAGACACGGAACGATGATGACACGCCGGTAGGAATGCGCATATTCGAAGAAGCACCCGCGTCCCCGTCCGATTATCTCGCGATGGCACAAGCGCCCTCCGCCGCGCCCGCGCTCCAGGCCCCGCCCGCGCCCGCATCTACGCCCGCGCCCGCGCCCCCGCCGCCGCGCCCCGCTATGTCCGTGTCCACGACCGATCGTTTGGGAGAGGTTAGCATTTCCGCGCCGCGTACAGAGACACTCGCCGCGATTATAGAAGATCTTCCGTCTACAGAGATCAGTTCGATAGTACGTACCGTCGCGCCTATAACAGACGTACATAGGCCCGCGCCCCGCGCCCCGTCGGTTCGCTCCGTTCGTTCAGCCCGGTCGACGGCTAGTGCGATAGCTAAATTAAAGCAAATTGAATATAACGCCGCGGAGGAACTAGCTGCAATTAGGAGGAAGCAATTGCAGTTGGAAGAAGATCTTATTAGGAAGAAGTACGCTAGGGACGTCGCGCAACTGCAAGAAGAAACAGATAGGGAAAATGTCAACGAAGACGAGTTAGTTGAAAATAGGGTACGCGTTGATAGGTGGTTAGAGAACGTAGAGACTGTGCGGGGGGAGTCGCCTTCCCGCCCCTCTCAGCCCGCGCCCCGCATCGAGTTAGAGCAGACCCTACCGAACAGGGTAACCGGTTACGACCACAGGGAAGATGCCCAGGGGAGGACGGAAGCGAATAACGTTCAACCGCGCCGCATAGATTCGGTACAAAGGGAAGATGGAGTCGCCGCAGGAATGAACCAGGTGGATCGTCGTGTACGGGTTACGTCGCCGTCGCGCGTACAACGCCGCACTCTATCGCCTACACATAGATCGCCACATCGCCACGCGGATCGTAGATCACCGTCGCCGCATAGGGATGTAGGCGTACGTAGATCGCTATCGCCACATCGCCGCACGGATCGCAGATTATCGTCGCCGTATAGGGATGTAGGTGCGCATAGGACGCCAGCGCCACAGCGTAGGCTAGAGAGAGATAGGGATAGAGATAGGTCGCTTACTCCGCGAGGAAAGGATAGGGGTATAGAGCGACTAGCGGAAGCTCTGGAGAATATGGTCAGAGTTAGGCCCGCTGCCGCGAAGCAGACGCAGGACTTGCCTATTTTTAACGGTTCGGCCGCGGAATGGCTAGCGTTCAAAGCCGCGATGAAAGAATCCACGCGTCTATATGGATTCACAGATACGGAAAACATGGCAAGGTTAAGAAACTGCTTACGCGGTGAAGCTAGGGAAGTAGTATCGGCACTGCTGTTTACCGCGAAGGATCCAGCAGATATTATGCGAACATTAGAGCAGTGTTTCGGCCGCCCAGAAGTAATTATCGATCGCGCGTTAGAAGAATTGAAACGCCTTCCGCGCCCGGGTCAAACCGCACAGGAACTAAA